GTATAATTATCCTAGTCAGTATAAGCCTAATGTTGTCCCCAAATGCCATCACAAACGCCCTTAAAAGATACACAGGGAGAGTAGACACCACACAGAGAAGACAATACAAACACAGAGGTGGAGATTGGAATGATGTGGCCATTAATTAGCTAAAGAATCAAATAGCCACCAGAAGGTAGAAGAGTCAAGTAATGGATGCTTCTCTGAACCCTCCAAAAAGGACCAGCTCTTCCAACACCTTGATTCCAGACTTCTGGTCCCCACAACTGTGGAAGAAAAAATTTTTGTTGCTGGTTGTTTTATTTTTTGTTTTTGTTTTTTGGTTGTACATAATACCTTTATTTTAATATTTATTTTTATGTGGTGTTGAGGATTGAACCCAAAAGCCTTGCACATTCTAGGCGAGCATTCTCTAGCTGAGCCACAACCCCAGCCCAATTTTTGTTGTTTTAAGCACTAAATTTGTGGTAATTGCTAAACCTCAGTTTCTTCATCTGTTAAATAAAAATAATATATGCCTTGCTGGGTTGTTATCAGAACAAAAGTCATAAATATAAAATACTAGTTAATTCTCCAGCACAAAGGAGGTGTATAGTACACAGCAGTCGCTACTTTTTCTATTATAATTATCTTTATTATTTTTGAATATGGATTTTTTTTACGCTAAACCTAAAACTATTATTTTAAGAATCAAAACAGCCTATAATTCTTGCTACCCAGGAGACTGAGGCAGGAGGATCACAAGTTTAAGGACAGTCTCAGAAACTTAAGGAGACCCTGTCTCAAAATAAAAAATAAAAAGGGCTGGAAATATAGTTCAGTGATAGAGTGCCCCTGGGTTCAATCCCCAGTACTGAAGGAAAAGAAAAGAAAAGAATCAAATCAAACCATACCCAGTGGTATCATCTTCATATAGGAAGAATTGCAATTCATATTTATAATTCATAGCAAAATAGTGTCTTTTGTCAAGAAGCTGTCTTCTTGCTATATTATTATGATATGTCAGATCTATTCATGTCAATAATCAAATAAGCCATGTTGCACATTTCCAAGTATCTGTGCATTTTACCATAAATTATATGTTGAAGATGGAAAATAAACAGTTGCAGCTGTCTTGAAAACAGCAAATCTAAATTTGAATTGCTGGATTTTAGAAAAATGACAGATCGTTAATATGCTACAATTTGTTTAAACCAACACCAACTCTTACTTATTCAGAAGTTGAACATTCATGGAGATATAATTAAGGGAGAGTCGGAGTTTTACGTGATGGAAAATTGGCTCCTCACAGAGGTGTAGTATGTAGGGAAGTAATCATTCACCTAATAAATGATAATGAAACCATAGTGCTGAGTACTAGAGGGTATAAGGGTGAATAAGAGGGAGTCTTTACTTTGGAGGTACATATACAATAATAAAGGACATATAAATATAAAAGATAGATTGAAATTCAAAAAAATAGTAAAGCTAACACTTACAAGAATTTATTATGTACCAGGCACTGTATAATCCTTCCTATGCATGATCTCATTTTATATACTCAGTGGAGTATGAGTTTGTTGGGATGCAGCCAACTACTATGTATAAGCAAAAAGCTTTAATTAAAAAATAATAATAGCTGGGGTTCTGGCTCAACACTAGAGTGCTTGCCTTGTATGTGTGAGGCACTGGGTTCAATCTTCAGCAGTAAATAAATAAATAAAGGCATTGTGTTATGTCCAAAATTTTTTAAAATAAATAATAATAATAATAATATACATAGTGGTGTTTTAGTAAGCTTAATTTGCCCAAGTCACATAATTTAAGAGCAGGAGCATAAAAAAGCCACAAGCTCAATTTAAGAAAAATGTAAGGGAAGATAAAATACAGCAGTTCACACGAGAAATTAATTCAAATTATTAGTTATTTAAATAAATTGCTCATTTTAAAAAACCAATAAGGGCATCTCTTCCAACCAGCGGACTACAGCAGGAGCTGAGATCCAGCCCAGACTGCCCACACCAGCCCATGCAGGACTCTGGTTCTCAGTAGGTCCGGTTCACCGCTGCCCTGATGGGGCAGACACCTGCCCGAGCCTAGCGTCTGGCGCAGGACTGCCCCTTCCAACCAGCAGACTACCAAGGGAGGTCAAGCCCAGTGGCCCAGATCCACCTACACTTGCCTGTGCTGGCCTCAGGCTCACAGCAGGCCCAGTCCACTCCTCCCGCCAGAGGGGCAGACACCTGCCAGAGTCTAGCCTCTGGCACAGGACTGCCCCTTCCAACCTACAGACTACTGAGGGAGGTCAAGCCCAGTGGCCCAGATCTACCCACTCCAACTTGCAGATCCAGGATGCAGTAGCATTCACTGAGGGACACCAGCAGGGTCTGGAAGTCCAACATCAAAGTGAGGTACAGACAATCTTCACAGGTACTACAAGAATTTAGAGAAAAAACTGTAATGTCTCAGATCCACACTGCAAGAAACGAAGACACATAGACAACATGAAAAAACAAGGGAGGAAAGTGCCCCGAAACAAACCAGGACACTATAATAACAGAACCCATGGACAGCAAAGCGATGAAATGTCAGAAAGGAGTTCAGAAGGTTCATAATTAAAATTATCTGTGAATTTAAAAATGACCTAAATGAGCAAATACAGGCAAAAATTGATCACTCCAATGAGATAAAAGAGCAAATACAGTCATCAAAAGATTACTTCAAGAGAAAGATAGAGACTCTGAAAAAACAAAATCGGAAATCCTTGAAATGAAGGATACAATAAATCAAGTAAAAAACTCAATAGAAAGTATAACCAACAGACTAGATCACTTGGAAGAAAGAATGTCAGATAATGAAGACATAGTATATAATCTGGAAAATAAAGTTGATCACACAGTGAAGATAGTTAGAAACCATGAACAGAACATCCAAGATTTATGGGACAGCATCAAAAGACCAAATCTAAGAGTTATTGGGATAGGGGAAGGCACAGAGTTTCAAACCAAAGGAATTCACAATCTCTACAATGAGATAATATCAGAAAATTTCCCAAGCATGAAGAATGAATTAGAAAACCAAATACAAGAGGCTTACAGGACACCAAATGTACAAAATTACAACAGATCTACACCAAGGCAATGAAAATGCCTACCATACAGAATAAGGATAGAATCTTAAAAGCCACAAGAGAGAGGAATCAGATCACATATAGGGGGAGACCAATTCATAGCCCAGCAGATTTTTTTCAACCGAGACCCTCAAAGCCCAGGAGATTGTGGAACAACATATACCAAGCTCTGAAAGAAAATGGATGCCAACCAAGAATCTTACATCCAGAAAAACAAAGCTTTAGATTTGATAATGAAATAAAAACTTTCCATAATAAACAAAAGTTAAAAGAATTTACAACGAGAAAGCCTGCACTACAGAACATCCTCAGCAAAATATTCCAAGAAGAGGAAATAAAAAACAATGATGAAAATCAACAGAGGGAGGGGTTAAACTAAAGGAAAATCTAATCAGAGGAGAAACCAAGTCATGTTAAATACCAAAAACAAACAAAAATGGCTGGGAATACAAATCATGTCTCAATAATAACCCTGAATGTTAATGGCCTAAATTCACCAATGAAAAGACATAGACTAGCAGATTGGATCAAAAAAAAAAAAAAAAAGATCCAACAATATGCTGCCTCCAAGAGACTCATGTCATAGAAAAAGACATCCACAGACTAAAGGTGAAAGGTTGGGAAAAATCATACTCACATTGATTGTGGAAGCAAGCAGGGGTTTCCATCTCATATCAAATAAAGCAGACTTCAAACTAAAGTCAAAACAGATAAAAAGACACTACATACTGCTCAAGGGAACCATACACCAACAAGATTTAACAGTTATAAATATGTACGCCCCCAAATAATGGAGCACCTACATTCATCAAACAAACTCTTCTCAAGGTCAAGAGTCAAATAGACCACAAAACAATAATATGGGGTGACTTTAACACACCTCTTTCACCACTGCATAGATCGTCCAAACAAAAGCTGAACAAAGAAACTACAGAACTCAATAATACAATCAATAACTTTCACTTAACTGACATATATAGAATATTTCATCCTTCAATGAACAAGTACACTTTCTTCTCAGCAGCACATGGATCCTTCTATAAAATAGACTATATATTATGCCACAAAGCAACTCTTAGCAAATATAAAAAAGTAGAGATATTACCCTGCATTCTAAGATCATAATGGAATAAAATTAGAAATCAATGATAAAATAAGAAATAAAATCCACTCCAACACTTGGAGACTAAATAATATGCTACCGAATGAACAATGGGTTACAGAAGACATCAAGCAGGAGATATTAAAAAATTTTTAGAGGTGAATGAGAACACAGATACAACATATTGAAATCTCTGGGACACTATGAAAGCAGTTCTAAGAGGAAAGCTCATTGCATGGAGTTCATTCCTTAAAAGAAAAAAAAAGTCAACAAATAAATGACTTAACATTACATCTCAAAGCCCTAAAAAAAGAAGAACAAATCAACACCAAAAGCAGCAGAAGACAGGAAATAATCAAAATCAGAGCTGAAATCAATGAAATTGAAACAATTGAAAAAATTGACAGAATAAAAAGTTGTTCTTTGAAAAAATAAATAAAATTGATAGACCCTTAGCCATGCTAACAAAGAGAAGGAGAAAAAAAAACTCAAATCACTAACATGTGATGAGAAAGGAAATATCAAACAGACACTACAGAAATACAGAAGATAAGAAGAAATTATTTTGAAAACTTGTACTCCAGTAAAATAGAAAATATTGAAGGCATCAACAAATTTTTAGAGTCATATAATTTTCCCAGATTGAATCAGAATGATATACACAATTTAAACAGATCAATTTCAAGTGACGAAATAGCAGATGCCATCAAAAGTCTACCAACCAAGAAAAGCTCAGGACCAGAAGAATACACAGCCGAGTTCTAAAAGACCTTTATTTTTTTTTTTAAATTTAAACTACAATTGCTTTTATTACCAAATGTAGGAAACACTGATTATTTTATAATTCTGCAATACTGCCTCAGACTCTCAACATTTGAAAACACCCATTTAGAATAAATATGATTCTGTTGTTGTTTGTAATAGAATAGAATCTTTAGCTTTCATTGTTCATATTGAATAAGCAATGTGTTAACTTTGGGCATGATAATTTAGTGGTAAAAACAGCACAGAACTATTGATTCACTCAAATCATATCCCATTTGAATAGTCTAAGGACTTCATCAGATTACAAAATAAGTAAACTTTCAATTTAAAGATACAAACATTTCAACATATTGATTAAATTAAAAATACAGAAAGTGTGATGTCACCAGACAGGTTCATTTTCCTAGATTCATTCTGAAATTCAGGGTAACATATAATAATACTATTTTAGTTAAATAAATGGCATTTGAGGAAAGTTATACTTCTGGGCAAAGATCACATAGAACATGCTTTTTTTGAGGAGGATGTGTTAGAAAAACTACAATAATTAATATTGCCTTAACATTTCTAAAATCACATAAAATCATCATCTCTGATTGCCATTACAATAAATTTTCATACTGGGTATATTACTGTCTGCTCACTAGTAATCAAAATGCATAAAACGGATTCAAAACAAATATTCAAAATCAATTATTTTTCATAAGTGAAACATTTCTGAGACTTTAAGATTCGTGTCTTGAGCATATAGTACTACAATGCTGGCTACATAAAATAAATAGAAAATCTTTCTGAGAGGAAGCTCAATAATCAGGCTATATTGCATTTAAAGAACACTGGCTATATACAGAAGGGAAAACACTTCGACAATACTTCATGTTACAGAGCTCTCTCTTTTAATATGGCATTCATGAGCTTTCCATTCTGACATTTTAAAAATTAACAGGAATAGTGAAACTCTTTTATCCTTTGGTTCCCAAGGACAAATAATGCAATTACAATGCCTCTGGTTTTAGTTCCTCTTGGATGACATTCATTAGTAGAGAAATTTCTGATGTTTCAGCTGAAGTTTGGCAGCCCAAGAAGTGCACCAACTGCTCCAAAGTATCCCTCATGTTCTAGAAACAATGCTTTCAATTGACCTTTGGACCAATAATCCAGTGCATATGCCAAAAGTTTCATTGACAGAGTATTGAGTTTCCAACAAAGACAACTCTGCTTATTTTCTCATTAACAGCACACATTCGTGCCACAGAGCCAATATTATTGGTGATAGTAACTAAAGTAGCTCTTGCCAGATCTTCTTTACTAACAGATTCTCGCTTCTCCTTATAAATCATATTTCCAAAACTAGACGCGACAGTCCAACCTGGTAGACCAAATCTTTCATAATCTCCTCCATAAATATCACGGAACAGTTTGTCAGCTTGGGTGCTGTCGCCTTTGGATGCCATTTCAAGGGCCTCTTCAAAACTTTCACAGCCAGTCAGTAAACTGCATAAACCCAGAAAGGTACCCCCTCCAAGGCTTGTCCCAGTCACTCATTTATAGTTATCTTTGGAGTGGACTGCTAAAATACTGACTCCTGAACCCATGTTTACCACCAGCAATGGATAGGGATCATCCAGGTTAAAAGGCATCTTTTGGCATCGCTCAGGTTCTGAGGCATTAGCAAAATAATAGCACTCTGCTTGTCCATTGAAACTGACAGAATCTATATACAACAAGCCCTTTACAAGGCAGTCAAGTTCATCCAGTTTGTGCAGGTGGAGGTTTCCAATTGTGCAAAAATCTTCTTCAAACTTGTAAGCACCACCTCCTGTAGCACATAGCACCGTTTGTAATGTTGAGAAGTTTTTGTCTCTTCCCATTTGGATAAAAGTAGGCAGGTCATGGGTTGGAAATCTGATAAAGTGCAAGTTCCCTCTTCGGCCAAAAAGTGTTAAATTCTTCAGTTCAAGGTGTACATCCCGAATGCCAGTGGATCCATATGCTACATTAGAAGTCAAATATTTCCGAATACTTTTTAAGCTCTCAACTTCCTCTTGTTCTTCCTCTGCTGTGATATCAATAGGTTCAAAATATGAGAGCTTTACTAGAGTTCCCCCAATGTCCATTCCAAACCATGGGAAAGAGGGTTTCTTGGCATCCTTGATCTTCATGGCGTTGGCCTGAGGGGCGAGGGGAAGCCTCGGATCCGGAGCACGGGGAAGAGCGGTGGCTCTAAAAGACCTTTAAAGAAGAACTAATACCAATACTCTTTAATTTATTTCAGGAAATAGAAAAAAGAGGGAGCACTTCCAAACTCATTCTATGAGGCCAATATCACTCTGATTCCAAAACCAGGCAAAGACACATCAAAAAAAAGAAAACTTCAGACTAATATCTCTAATGAACATAGATGCAAAAATTCTCAATAAAATTCTGGCAAATCGAATACAAAAACATACCAAAAAGATTGTTCACCATGATCAAGTGGGATTCATCCCAGGGATGCAGGATTAGTTCAACCATATGGAAATAAATAAATGTAATTCATCACATCAATAAACTTAAAGATAAGAATCGTATGATCATCTCAATAGACACAGAAAAGGCATTTGAAAAAATACAGCACCCCTTCATGTTCAAAACACTAGAAAAATTAGGGATAACAGGAACACATCTCAACATCATAAAGGCTATCTATGCTAAGCCCCAGGCCAAAATCATTCTAAATGGAGAAAAATTGAAGGCATTCCCTCTAAAAACTGAACAAGACGGGGATGCCCTCTTTCACCACTTTTATTTAACATAGTTCTTGAAACAATGGCCAGAGTAATTAGACAGACGAAAGAAATTAAAGAGATACACATAGGAAAAGAAGACCTCAAATTGGAACTATTTGCTGATGATATGATTCTATACCTAGAAGACCCTAAAAGTTCAACCAGAAAACTTCTAGAACTAGTAAATGAATTCAGCAAAGTAGCAGGATACAGAATCAACACCCATAAATCAAAGGCATTTCTATTTATCAATGACAAATCCTCAGAAACGGAAATGAAGGGGACTGGGGATGTGGCTCAAGCGGTAGAGCGCTTGCCTGGCATGTGCGGGGTGCTGGGTTCAATCCTCAGCTCCACATAAAAATAAAATAAAGATGTTGTGTCCACTGAAAACTAAAAAATAAATATTAAAAAATTCTCTCTCTCTCTCTCCCCCGCTCCCTCCCTCCCTCCCTCCCTCTCTTTAAAAAAAAAAAGAAAAAGAAAGGGAAATGAGAAAAACCACCCCATTTACAATAACTCAAAAACAAAAATACTTGGGAATCAACTTAACAAAAGAGGTAAAAGATCTATATAATGAAAGTTACAGAACCCTAAAGAAAGAAGTCAAAGAAGACCTTAGAATATGGAAAGATCTACCTTGCTCCTGGATAGGCAGAATTAATATTACCAAAATGACCATATTTCCAAAAGCACTATACAAATTTAATGGCAATTCCAATCAAAATCCCAATGACATTCCTCATAGAAATAGAAAAAGCAGTCATGAAATTCATCTGGAAAAATAAAAGACCCATAATAGCTAAAGCAATCCTTAGCAGGAAGAGTGAAGCAGGTGGCATCACTATACCAGACCTCAAACTATACTACAGAGCAATAGTAACAAAAACAGCAAGGTATTGGCACCAAAACAGACCGGTAGACCAATAGTACAGAATAGAGGACACAGAGACTAACCCACAAAATTAAAATTATATATCTTGGAGAAAAGATAGTCTCTTCAACAAATGGTGCTGGGAAAACTGGAAATCCATATGCAACAAAATGAAACTAAACCCCTATCTCTCACCATGCATAAAACTCAACTCAAAATGGATCAAGGATTTAGGAATAAAACCAGAGACCCTGCGTCTAATAGAAGAAAAAGTAGGCCATAATCTCCATCATGTGGGATTAGGCCCCAACTTCCTTAATAAGACTCCTGTGGCACAAGAATTAAAATCAAGAATCAATAAACGGGATGGACTCAAACTAAAAAAGTTTCTTCTCAGCAAAAGAAACAATCTGTGAGGTGAATAGAGAGTGCCTACATCTTGGGAGCAAATCTTTACCCCTCATATATCAGATAGGGCACTAATCTCTAGGTATAAAAGAACTCAAAAAACTAAGCACAAAAATAAAAAAATAAAAAAAAACCCAATCAACAAATGGTCCAAGGACCTGAACAGACACTTCTCAGAAGAGGATATATAATCAATCAACAAATATATGAAAAAAATGTTCATCATCACTAGCAATTAGAGAAATGCAAATCAAAGCCACTCTAAGATTTCATCTTACTCCCATCACAATGGGAGCTATTATGAAGACAACAATAAGTGTTGACAAGGATGTGGGGAAAAAGGTACACTCATATACCACTGGTGGGACTGCAAATTGGTGCAACCAATATGGAAAGCAGTATGGAAATTTCTTGGAAAATTGGGAATGGAACAACCATTTGACTCAGATATCCCTCTCCTCGGTCTAAACTCCAAAGGACTTAAAAATAGCATACTACAGGGCACAGCCACATCAATGTTTATAGCAGCACAATTCACAATAGATAAATTGTGGAACCAACCTAGATGCCCTTCAATAGATGAATGGATTAAAAATGTGGCATTTATACACATGGAATATTACTCAGCAATAAAAGAGAATAAAATCATGGCATTTGCAGGTAAAGATAATGCTAAGTGAAGTTAGCCAATCCCAAAAAAACAAATGCCAAATATTTTTTATTTATATAAGGAGGCTTATTTATAGTGGGATAGGAAGAGGGACGATGGGAGAAACAGAGAACTCTAGATAGGACAGAGGGGTTGGAAGGGAAGAGAAGGGGTATGGGGTTATAAATGATGGTGGAATGTGATGGTTATCATTATCCAAAGGACATGTATGAAGACACGAATTGATGTGAATATACTTTGTATATAACCAGAGATGTGAAAAAAATTGTGCTCCATATGTGTAATAAGAATTGTAATGCATTCTACTGTCATACATAAATTTTAAAAAACCAATAAGGTAAGAATAAAAAAAGCACAAACATACAGCACAGGAAATGCCAAAGGGAACACAAAGAAATATAAAGGTTTTAAATCTCTATTAATAAAAACTTTCTGAGCCAGGCCTGTGGTACACACCTTTAATCCCAGTTACTTGAGAGCCTGAGAAAGAAGAATCAGATCACAAGTTTCAGACCAGCCTCAATAACATAGCAAGACCCTGTCTCAAAATAAAATTAAAAGGGATGGGGATGCAGCTCAGTGGTAGAACACTTGCTTAGCATGTGCAAGGCTCTGGATTTAATTCCCAATATTAGAGGGGAAAAAAAGAAAAGGAAGAGAAGGAAGAAAGGGAAGATTGGAGGAAGGAAAGAGATAGAAAAGAAATTATATATATGTAGAGATACACACACACACACACAAAATGAAATCTTTAATGCAAAGGTGGTAGATGTGATAGAATAATACCAAAGAATTTTTTAAGTATGCCAAAAAATATTCCCTCAAAGATATTAGGTTATAGACCCATTGGTTTCAGATTGGTTCTTGCATGTCTTAAAGAGGAATATGTAATTCATATCCTAAAGAGTATAGAAAAAGAAGAATTTTTTTCTTGTTCACTTTATCAGATGGCATAACCTTGATAATAAAACCTTTAAAATGGGGAAAACGGGGCTGGGGCTATAGCTCAGTGGTAGAGCGCTTGCCGCGTACGTGTGAGGCACTGGGTTTGATCCTCAGCACCACATAAAAATAAATAAAGATATTGTGTCCTTCTACAAATTAAAAAAAAATTCTTAAACACTATTTCCTTTTCTTTTTTAATATTTATTTTTTCATTGTAATGAACAATACCTTTATTTTATTTGTTTATTTTTATGTGGTACTGAGGATTGAACCCAGAGCCTCACACATGCTAGGGGAGCACTTTACTGCTGAGCCACAACTCCATCTCCCAAATAAAAAAAAAAAATTAATGGGAAAAATATATTTAACTCACATTTAAGGACTTTAAATTCTAAAAAAAATTACTAAAAATTATCCAGTAGTATATTTTTAGAATTATCTTAATTTGTAATTCAATTAACATAATTCTCCATGTTACCAAACTAAAAACATAAAAACTATATGATCATCTCAGTAGACATATACAAAGAATTTGACATAACCCAACATCCATTCCTGCTGAAATTCTCAGCAAACTAGGAATAAAAGGGAATTTCCTCAACACAATAAAAAATAAGCATGAAACCTGCAACTAATATCAAACTTAATGGTAAAAAAAGCCTAAATGTTTGCCACCTAAGAACAGAAACAAGATAAGAATCTGCTTTTGCCACTTTTATTTACCATTGAACTGAAGATTCCAACCAGTGTAATAGGCAAGAAAAGGAAATAAAAACCATGTTGACTGGAAAGAAAGATATAAAACTGCCTTCATTCACAGATGACATATCTGTAACAATCTGATAGAATCTACAGAAGAAGCTATTAGAACTAATAAGTGAATATAGAATGCAAGATCAATATACAGAAATGTAGTTTTACATATACTAGCAATGGGGAATCAGAATTTAAAAATAATACCATTTACAATAGCAAAAAAATGAACTATTTTAAGGACAGATACGACAAAAGATATGGAAGATTTACAATTTGAAAACCAGAAAACAATGGTGCCATTCTTCTGCATCTTAGTAAATAACACTTCCATTAAGCCAGTTGCCCAAACCAGAAACTTGAAAGTCATCATTGATATTTCATATTTCCTTAATTCCCAGATATAATCCATCACCAATTCATCCTGATTCCGAATTCAAAATATATCTCAACCCACATTGTTGTAAGGATTTAGCCCTGTCCTAGCCACCTGTGTTCCCCTTCTTATCTTTTGTTATAATCTTTTGCCTTGATGGTTCCACTTCCACCATTTCCCTTCCCAGTCCATAGAACACTAGCTAGAAACATATTCTCAAAGTGTAAATCTAATCAACTCTCTTCAGTGGCCTCTTAATGAAAATCCAGAATCCTCACATCTACATGATCTGGCTTCTTGTATCTCTTCAGCTTCATCTCATCTCTTTGATCTCCCATTTTCTTCCAGCCACATTGCTACTTTAAGTCTTCAAACATAACAAATTCTTTCCACCTCATGGGGTCTGTATGTGCTTTTCTCTC